CTATGATTCTATGATAAAACAGCGAACTGTGCCTTCAGTTCACAGGCATACCTTCGGACCCTAAGGGAGAGTCCGTCAGGCTTTTGCCACAGCCAAGAGAGCTGGCACGAAAGGCAGCCTGCTCCCTTTTACCAACCCAGAATGCGGTAAGGAGCGTGGGGTTGGGTTTTAGTCCAAACGCTCCCCAGCCCCGTGCAGTCTCGGGTGTCAGCATGGTGGGAAGGCTGTCTCCTGGCCCCGGCTTTGGCCACTGGTGGAGCGGGGCCAGGGAAGCAGCCTGGCCGATGATTCAGCATTGCCTTTCTCCCTTGTTGGCTGAGGAACAAGGGGAGCCGCCAGGCACCTCCGAAGGCAGGCTGCCGCCCCGCTTTCCTCGCTGCAAGCCCCAGCACCCCCGCGGCTGCAGCGGGGCCGGGAGGGTGAAGCCATCTCTGCAGGCTTCCCTGGGGAGGGAGAAGGAGGTGAGGAGGCAGGCAGCCTGCGTGCCAGGCCTGGAGGTGCCGCGGGGGAAGGGACCTGCAGCAGAGGAGGGTACTGCAGCCTGGATGGGAGCCAGGCCCCACGGAGATGCTGCGGCCGCGGAGGCGGCGGGAGGGGCTGGATGGAGGTGGCTGCGTGCCGGGAGGAGATGGTGCAGGCAGGCTGGGCCCCGGCCAGCTGAGGAGAGCGTGAAAGAGCAAGAGAGGTAGCAGAGAAGCTACCCTGGCTCTGTGCAGCCAGGGGGGCTCGGGGGTGGGGTGGGGGCTCAAGCAGCCAAGACCCCTTTGGCAGATCCCTTCCCCGGTCCCTGTGAGCTCCGGGAGAAGGTTGAGGAGTGGGGGGCAATCCATCCACATGTTAGGGTGGATTGCCCCCCTGGGAGTGTCCCCACCGGCTCTGAGGGTTCACGGGGTGCATGCATGCAGAGGTGGCAGCCCATGATCTGAACCAGGAGTAATCCATCTCCATCCAGCTCCGTAGCATTGTGCATGATTACTTTGACTTCACGGCAACCCTTGTAAGAAAGGTGCAACATCTCTGTGTGCATTTCTGTTCTCCTCAGCACCAGAAAGATGTGAGCAAACCAAAAAGATAATTTAAAGGAGAGCAGTTAAATGTGGATAGGCTGGAGAGCAGTGAAGATTACAGGAGAAGATTGAACACGGGTAGTTTGCCAGGAAGGCCAGTGCAGTGAAGATGGGGATTAAACACAGGCTCAGGGCAGTTATCAGCAGGGAAAATTGTCGTACTGGAAATTGGAAGGTTGAAAAATTAGACATGGATAAACAAGGCAAGACATTTTTAAAAATCTGTGCTAAGCACTCAGATGCCATAGTAACTCATCTGTACAATGAAAAGAATATTCCCAGCTGGTTCTCAGCTTGCACTCTGGTTTGAATAGCGATGCTTCAGCTTCACACCTGAGGAACAATTTGTGTGTGCAAAAGTGTGTCTGGTTTTCTCAGATTTATTAGTTAATCTAGTAGAAGATACATCCTTTCCCTAGAAACCTTTCTTACTTGTACCCACAGGCCACCACAGCTGTCAAAATAATGCTGCTGTGATGTTACCCTTTCTTGCAGTGGATGTGTTGTTACTGCTGTTTGAAATAGGTTTTGAGATACTTGAAAGATGCTGCCCTCATGCAGTATACCAGCTAAGGAGCACATGTTCTTTGTAATAAGAGGAGCCATGTACGTAAATATGCAATGCAAGCTGTTCATTCTGTCTGAGGATGCTGATCACATCATTAACCTGAGGACCAAACACTTCAGTGGTAATGCAGACTAGATTGTATGATGATTTATCTTTTTACATTCTTCCAGAGAGTGTTATCATTGTCTGTGCTTTAAGGTAAATTCTCCAGGCACTTGAATGTAGTAGCATCGTGATTACTTCAGTTGGCTACTACAGCCTCACAGGAAGCTTTGTGATCAGACATCCCTCAATTAGTCCTTGACATGAGAGTCTGTGAAAACACGATGGGATTCATTAAGATTTTGATAAATGATTTTTATCTGAATGTTACTAATGTTCCCTTGGAAATCTGGAGCGAGGGGGGACTGGACAAGACAGGGCTTAGAGGCAAGGAGAGGAGATGGGTAGACCGATGTCTTTTTTGTCACCACTGAAAATATAGAACCACAAAGGAAATTACCTTTCGGATGCCTGACTGAGGTACCAGCAAAAATGAGTTCAGGGCAATTTGTAGCACTTGATTCTTTGCTGCTTTATGCATCTTGCAGCCGTTTATACTAACGAGAAAAGGGACTTCATGCTGCCAAATCCTCAATACAAATGTTTTCACAAAGTCCAAGGAACTGGAAATTGTGTTAAAAGCCCCTCTCCTTTTATATATATGTCTGTATTGTTGCCTAGGTGTACTTTTCTGTGGAAAAGACCAGGAATAGAGCTGATTCTAGTCTTATTTTCGTTATGTTAACAGAACTGTTGATTTACCCCTGTATTACACTACAGTGGTGGAAATGGGAGTTAGTGTTAGGTGGTGGTAGAAGTAAGGACTGACAGGCAAATTCAAGAAAAAAAGTGTAAGTCTTCTTAATAATAAAATTCTTTAATTTTTTTCCTTTTTCATTTTTTTTTCCTTAGCCTAAGGGGGAGTGAGGTTATATATGCTAGCAGCATGCAAGCTCTTAAAAGGTATCTTCAGAAGCTGGCTTTAGTGTAAAGTCTTTGCTTTATTGGTTTTGGAGGGCTTTGGAAAGGAGGTTGGTAAATTGAATATATAAAAAATAATTATACAAACCTCTTTGTAATAACTTAAATGCAAATTTGTCAGAGGCAGGAGTGGTTTTGGTTTGTTTGTGTTTTTTTTTTTTTTTTTTCCCTCTGCTTTACCTAAGGATGCATCCCAGCACTATTCTTATTCCTAGTGAAGGAAACTTATTTAGGGGTTTGGAAAGAAAAGCTGTCTGTAGGTGTCAGGCAGGGAGAAACTGCTGCTGGAAAGCGGTCTTACCCCAGGGAGAGATCAGATATCAGCCTGAGCGAGCCCAGTCCAGCCCAAAGAGCTCCCACTGGCACCCAGTCCCCGCCGGAGGACCGTGTCATGGATGGCCGCCGCCTCCGGCTGCGCTCCGGCTGAAGAGAGGGAGCGGGCAGGCGCGCAACTCCTGCCCGTTCCCTCCCTTTGATTTGATGGCCTTTATTCCTCCTAATTGGATAAAATAGGAAGTCACTGACAGTCCTGCGTTGCTGGGTGTACTGATTTCCCTCAGACCAGCCCTGCAGAGGGCGGGGGGTGGGGTAGGGGAGGAAGGAGCGAGTCTGTACATCAGGGAAACAGGCTGCGAGGGGGCTGGGGGAGCGGG